GCCGGTCGGGCACGGCGACGGCCAAGCGCCGGGCGCGGGACCCACCCTGGCGGTCTCCCCGGCGGCGGCGGCGGTGGCGGCGGAGGCGACGGGAGCGTTGGGGAGGCAGCCGCTTCCTGGAGGGGGCGCCCACTCCCCTGAGATCGTTCTGTACCCGACGCGAAGCCTTTCCTGCCCCTTTGCCTCTCAGCCCAGGGAATGGGGAACCTTTCTATTCCTACCCCAAGGGGACGCCCCCAGCTCACAGCACATTCCCAACCCCTCATGGAGTCCTTAATTCCAAGGAACCCCAGACCCCTTTCCCCAAGAACTTCCTCTCTTTCATCCATCCCCAGGAGTTCCCCTTTTCAACTCTTCCTGAGTCTCCCTCAGCACCCCTCTCACTCCTTAACCCGAGGAGTCCTCTAGCCGCTACCCTGGGTCCCAGTCCCTTCCCTCCAACTGCTTCCTTCACAGGCCTCGCCATCGCTTTCTAAATAGCATACGCTCTTTAAGACCCCTCTTCCCTCCCTGAGTCACCCGGTCCACCCGACTGTTCCTTTGAGTGGCATAGAAGCGAGGTAAGGGGCGAAGGGCGGGGGTCCCAAGATACACATCCTGTATGTGGTCGGAGTCGGCTTCCCATTGCCACACTCCCTCCCTGGTCGCAGTGCGGACCCCTTCTGTAAGCGCGCGGCAAAACATAGTTTTGGAAGTCACGGTGGCCGAGTGGTTAAGGCGTTGGACTCGAAATCCAATGGGGTTTCCCCGCACAGGTTCGAATCCTGTTCGTGACGGCCGCTTTTTTCCCTCTCCTTCAGGATACGTAGAAGGAACTCCCCTTGCACGTGTCTTTCCAGCATTTACCTTTCTGTGTCAGAAATAGCTGAGAGGTCTCACCTCTGGATTGGGACGGATGGAGGTGATCATGGGAAGCTTAATTTGCACAACTGTATCGGCTGCTAGGATACTGGACACCTTCGCAGTTCTGTAACTTCAGGTTTGTTAGAGCTTTGACACACGTTTCATTCTTGGGGAAGGGAATAGCAAAGGATTTGGCTGAAGAAGGGTTAGGTTTTTGGAAATCTGAATGCCTCCTGTGCTGTAATAGTTAAAATTAGAATTTCCAGGAAGAGAGGGCATCTCTGGATTTCATGACCAGAAGTCTGATTATAACTGAGACCCAGGAAAAAGCATACTCTCATTTGGATTTTTTTGAGGAGCCGCATCTCAGAAATCACTGAGCTAGGAGGGAGTAGCCTGTCAAACATAACAGCTTATGTTATGAAACATAATGGCTGGAGCTGGAGTGTGGGGAGATAACACTTCTTACTGAATGCTCATTATGTGCTAAGTACTGTTCTAAATTTTCTGTGTATTAACCGGGTTAGGGAATTAATTCCTTCTCTGACCTCTAACCCTCCTGTACTCACCTTACCAGGTTCTTCCTCCCCCCCACCCCCACCCCCACCAATTTCTGATCATAGGAAATATCTGGGATACTTGTTGAGGATGTTCTTTTTGTATTTCATTTCTTGCACAGCAGCATCTTCTCCAAGATGAATCTCCCCAAGTGCAGGGAGTTCAGTAGTAATTCATAGAGCTTTCCCCACACTTACACTTTGCAGTTTCCTGCCTTCATACCCTTTTTCATGCTCTTCTCTCCGAGATCACCCTCACCACTGTACCCTTCCTTCCTTCATACCCCATCATTTATCCCTTCCCATCCTGCACATCCTTTCATCTTTCCTCCTTGAAGCTCTTGATTCCTCCAGCTGGAACCCATCATTCTACCACCACCATCCACCTGGTTGCATGCAAGGAATCTCCTTTGACACACTTCTGTAAGAATTAAAAGTTATATTTATTCTGCTTCCTAAATATGTCTTAAGTGTGTCCATTTTTTTCAGGGTGAGGGCAGGCTAGACCCACTACTTCCTGGGGCCTTCATGAGGAAAGTAGGGTTATGAGGACCACATGAGTTAATATATGGAAAGCTACACTAAAGCATCCAGTCGTAGCCAGAGACCTTAAACCCTTTCATGGCTGCTTTTTGGGTTTCCTGACCTGGTCCCTTTTCACTAACCATTCTTTCACATTCACTACATTCTATCCACTGGCATTCCTGGTATAGTATTTGTCTGTGTTCATGCTGTTCTCTGCCTGAAATAATCTTTCTCATCCTCACCTTCTACTCAACCTCTACTTCAATGTCAGTTGTCCTGAGAAGTCTTCTCTAGTTACTTGTCACCTACAATACCCCAATCTTCCCCAGTAGGATGTAAATTCCTGGCACATATAAGCCACTCAATTAAAAAAAAAAATCTTTGTTGAGTAAATGGATGTGTGTGTGTGTGTGTGTGTCTGTGTCTGTGTCTGTGTGTCTGTGTTTAATGTCTATTTTGAGAGAGAGAGAGAGAGAGAGAGAGAGAGAGTGAGTGGGGAAGGGGCAGAGAGGGAGAATCCCAAGTAGGCTCCACATTGTCAGCACAGAGCCCAATGCAGGGCTAGATCCTACCAACCATAAGATCATGACCTGAGCTGAGTGAGCCAAGATCAAGAGCTGGATACTCAACTGACTGAGCTATCCAGGTGCCCCTCTATGTGTTTTTACAGTAGTTACGTATACATGTTTTAATCTTCATTCAGATTGGACTGTAAGCTTCTTGAGAGTTTGGACTGTGTATTTTGGTTTTTTTGTATTTCCTTTACTAGGTTTTTATACACAAATGTGAGCAAATATGTAGTGAATGAATTAATAAACTAACAGGCTCAGTACTCAAGCTTCCTACCAAATGCCATTTTGCGCATGCTCTCAGATTTAAATGTCTGGAGAGGCAAGACCAAAATTGACCAGCAGAGGGCAACCAACAACTATATTGTGAAGGGAAGAAGGCACCATGGCTTACAAAATGGAGGATCTGGACGGAAAAGCTAGCAGAGGTTGTTTGGTGTTTGGAGATCATACCTTTCGCTCTCAAATATTTTCCCTGTAACTGTCATAGGTGAGAGGCCAAGGTTTCAAACCTTCATGTACAATAGATAAATTTCTACCATCCCCACAGCCCACCTGAACTCCTCAATTCCTTCACTTTACCCCTTTTATCCCAACAAATCCTCTATCCTTATACCTTTCCTTGACTTATATGATCAGGTCCCCCCAGGCATTCTTTAGTTTCTGGCTCGGTATTTGACTTTGCTTATTTGCCCTAAAGTTACCTTCTCCACATAGGCTTGTAAAGCCCACTCATTTCAAAGTCCTAAGGAAACTTACATAAACATCCTTCCATAACACATTCAAATTGCACAGGATCAATCCATTAAATCAGAACAAAACTACACCTTTATTTGACAGTTCCAAATCATCATGTTGTTTTCTACTTCCTTCTATTTTTTCTTTAGATTATTTTATTTTATTTTATTTAAAAATTAAAAAAAAATTTAACGTTTATTCATTTTTGAGAGACAGACAGCAAGCGGGGGAGGAGCAGAGAGAGAGGGAGACACAGAATCTGA